CCATCCCAATTTGGACACTGTAGACACGTTCCCACAGCCGCATGCTACGTTCCCGTGATCGCCATGCCCTTGCCCTTTTGTTCTCGCCCTTTGTTCTTCCTTTGTCATCTTCACTGCCTCGCTCTCGCGCCTTGTCTTTGGTTGCTAAGCAGCCCCTCTAGTATATAAGGACCCCCTTAGGCGCTCCCTAGTCCCCATCTCGACCTCTTGGTCATTGGGACTAGGTGAGTGGCCATAGTGTTGTATCTCTCTTCGATTGCTAATGTATAACTTGGTCATTGGGACTAGTCTGTCGCTGTCTGCGTGAAGACTAGCTTTCGCAGGTCTTGTGCCCTCGTGCCGGCCTCCGCTCTGCCCTCGTCGAGTTTCTTGCTACGTTTATCCCTCCCTATCTCTCTCTTCCCCTTTCGGCTCCTTGCCGCTCACCTACAAGGTCGTCGCCGAACGTCGACCCGAGTCTACGCGCCTAGTCGCCGCGACATTTCTGGTGAGGATGAAGCTGCTGCCAATGGCTGATGAGCTCGAGACAGCAAGCGCAAGAACGATGCGCTTGTCTTCTAGCACGACATGAACATCTAAGATCACGAGCAAGTTCAGGAACAGTTGCTATAGCGTAACCAGCAGCCAGCCAACGACTCACCAGTTTCGTTTTGTGAATCAACCAATCAACAATCTCATCGTTGTGTAAGAGGTGGTAGCAGGTACGCGATCGCCCTTGACGAACATCTCCAAGCAGATATGCACTCCACCTTCTGGTCCGTACAAGCTGGCTTCGAGGGTCAAGACGAAGTCGACGGAGCATTTGGTCCTCGTTCGAGGACGGGAGGGCTCGGTGTTACTGACATCTGCCTGAACGGACAGCGGCTCAAGCTTCACCCAGCCAGTGCCGGTCCGTATCTGTCACAGCCAACGAGCTGTGCCACCAGATAAACAAAGACAAAGCTTACTGGTGATGGGGTTGGTGCTGAGGGGCGAAGCAACTCCAGGTGACACAGCAAGAGATGGTGTAAAGAAGTAGATTCCCTAGACTAGAAGGGGCAGTGAAGAGGTAGGGCTGCTAGCTACCTACAGAGGAGATGGGTGATCGACGAGAAGATCAAGTCTGAGGTTGTCTGCCTCAGACCCCCTACTATTTATACAAATACAGTGGTGCACAGACCAGGTACCTATTGTCCCTTGCTTGGTCAGAGTCTGCTGACTCGTGCCTTGCCTCCTGATCTGTCACATGGCGTCCTCATGACTAACACCTGAGTCATGCTAAGTCCGGGCTTCCTCCGATGAGTAAGCCCCCCTGCTGACATGTGAGTCACCTGCCAGTGAGTGAGGCTGGGCGCTCCCGGACCCCACAAGGTCCTGGGTTCGATCCTGGCTCCTCCACTTTCCAATACGAGTTGTCCATGGTCAAGGTGAGCGTCTCTCCTAGTTCACATGACCCCCAGGTCACGTGGCACGAGAAAACTGTGACAGTATCCAGGATGGGAATTTGTGGGCAAGGTCCTCCGGGACTCGATCGCGCTGAGTAGCACGAGCTGCTCGTGCACCATTGATGAGAAGCGTTAGGAAAGTGAGCAGGGAAGGAGATAGAAGTATCCATGAAGAGGCCCAGTGAGCGTACGGAGTCAGTCGACAGGAGTATAGCGGGTGGGGGCAACGAGGAATATGGAGGTGAGGGCGAGAAACCACGGAGCGCGAGTACGTGTTTAGTGCGGTGAACGTATGGGCGCCTATATGCGTCACAAGCTCTTCACCTTGACGCTATAAAGAGCGTCCGCGTACAAAAGAACGTCATGTTCATCCTCCCCTTGCGACACCATCATCTTCCGCCCTCACGAAACCCAATTCCCCAAAAACCAGTGGGCTAGGCAAAGACAGCCAAGATTCATGACTTCGGGCGCAATGTTCCACCACTGCCCGCGCTCGCCGCCAATTCCAATGGGCTGCAACTAGACTCTGTACGTATGGAATCCGGACGCATATAAGCATACATACACCAACTTTGTGCCGGTGCAGACTTAATGCTCCCATGATAGAGGCCGTCTGACCCGTAACTGCTCACACTACGGGTCCCTAGATTTCGATCTCAGCTATCTCATCGCTACGTGTGGTTGAATGCTGATGCCTTGATAGCGGAATCATGCTTCCAAAATAATATGACTCGACCAACCCGTTGATTGACGACTTGGAGTATTTTGATATCCCGACGGGATACTCACTTTCAGGCATAGCTGTAGCAGACGACACACTGTCAATGTTGGTTACCGCAGTCGTGAAGACTCCGAGTGCGAGCGAGAGCGTGATTTCGCGTTCACGGCTGGATTGGCGTGGCCGTTCGTGTGTCCGTGCCTGTCACGGACGTTGGACAGACGCCCCTTTTTGCCGCCCATTCCCTTCCCTTTGATGCCCACCTTCCATTTCCGGACCGTTTCCTTTCCTAGCTCATCCCAGTTTGGACACTGTAGATACGTTCCCACAGCCGCATGCTACGTTCCCGTGATCGCCATGCCCTTACCTTTTCTTTCTCGCCCTTTGTTCTCCCTTTGTCATCTTCACTGCCTCGCTCTCGCGCCTTGTCCTTGGTTGCTAAGCAGCCCCTTGTCAAAGTTTTCTCGTGCCACGTGACCTGGGGGTCATGTGAACCAGGACAGACGCTCACCTGGACCACGGACAACTCGTATTGGAAAGTGGAGGAGCCAGGATCGAACCCAGGACCTTGTGGGGTCCGGGAGCGCCCAGCCTCACTCACTGGCAGGTGACTCACATGTCAGCAGGGGGGCTTACTCATCGGAGGAAGCCCGGACTTAGCATGACTCAGGTGTTAGTCATGAGGACGCCATGTGACAGGTCAGGAGGCAAGGCACGAGTCAGCAGACCCTGACCAAGCAAGGGACAATAGGTACCTGGTCTGTGCACCACTGTATTTGTATAAATAGTAGGGGGTCTGAGGCAGACAACCTCAGACTTGATCTTCTCGTCGATCACCCATCTCCTCTGTAGGTAGCTAGCAGCCCTACCTCTTCACTGCCCCTTCTAGTCTAGGGAATCTATTTGCTTACCTCATCTCTTGCTGTGTCACTTGCGGTTGCTTCGCTCCCCAGCACCAACCCCTTCACAAGTAAGCTTGTCTTTGTTTGTCTGGTGGCACAGCTCGTTGGCTGTGACACCCCTCTAGTATATAAGGACCCCCCTAGGCGCTCCCTAGTCCCCATCTCGACCTCTTGGTCATTGGGACTAGGTGAGTGACCATAGCGTTGTATCTCTCTTCGATTACTAATGTATAACTTGGTCATTGGGACTAGTCTGTCGCTGCCTGCGTGAAGACTAGCTTTCGTAGGTCTTGTGCCTTCGTGCCGACCTCCGCTCTGCCCCGTCGAGTTTTCTGCTACGTTTATCCCTCTATCTCTCTCTTTCCTTTTTGGCTCCCTGCCGCTCGCCTACGAGGTCGTCGCCGAACGTCGACCCGAGTCTACGCGCCTAGTCGCCGCGACATTAGGTCGAGATCTCTCCCCCGGTGCTGACACTCTGAACAAGAGTGTCCCCGCCGCCGCTACATTGCCTCCCCCACCCTGGACTGCGCCGGCAGACTTCACGCGTGGGACGCCGAAGACCAAGACTACTGTCACCAACGGAAGGACCTAGACGACGGACTCTGGTACTGGGTACCGTGCGAGCAAAACCCCTGCCCGAACCGTCATCACCGTCCTGCTCGGATCAACTGGAACGCCTTTTCGGACGAGTTCATCCCAGTCCCTGACTCCCCCGCTGCTGAGTCGCCCACGACTCGATCCCCCATCCCCGGTACTCCGACTGACGAGCTTGAAGTAGCGCTACTCATCGCGCTTCCCCCATCCCCTATCATCCCCCCAACCCGCCCACCGTCCGCTCCACCCATCATGGGACAACAAGGCGGACAACCGCAGACGACAGGCCCCGCCAACAACCCCCAGCAGGCCCAACCGGGCACCCAGACGGCAATGCAACCCCCGGACCCCATGACGGTATTACTCCAGTCGATGACCCTCCTCACTCAGTCCATGGCGCAGCTCGCCAACTCGACCACTGGGGCCAACAGCCTGAAGGCGGTTCAGAAGCCCTCTCCCTTCAAAGGCGAACAGGGGGGCAAAGCACGACGCTTCCTGGCCGCGTTCACTCTCTGGGCCATGTCCCAAGGATCAACACTCAACCACGTGGACGCCACGGGCAACGCGATCAGCGCGCGCGACGACCAGTGGATTCGGGCAGTCCTCTCCTT